ACGGTATCGAATTCAATTGATGCAATTGAGCCGAGCACTGCGCGAAAAACGGCCACAATACGAGCAGAAGCACGAAAAAGTGATTCTACTGCATGACAACGCTCAGCCTCATGTTGACAAACCCGTTAAAATCTACTTGGAAACGCTCAAATGGGAAGTCCTACCCCACCCGTCAGATATTCCCCATTCCCAAGATATTGCGCCGTCCGATTATTACTTGTTTCGTTCGATGGCACATGGTTTGGCTGATCAGAAGTTCCGCTCATATGAAGACATCAAAAAATGGCTTGATTCGTGGATAGCCTGACAAGACGAACGCTTTTACCGTAACGGTATTCGAGCTCTGCCAGAAAGATGGGAAAAAGTTGTAGCTAGCGATGGGCAATACTTTGAATGATTCATTTGTAACCATTTTTTCACAATAAAGTTGCATTTTTATAAAAAAAACAGCGAGAACTTAGTTGCGCACCTAATAAAAATATTATTTTTTATATAAAATATATAATTATAATATTTTTAGATACATACTTTTACAAATTAATTGAATTTTAAGTGATAGCTTGTAATCTCTGCATACAATTAAATATCTATAATTGCTGAAAAATAATAATTTATATTCCAGCTATATAACATTTCAGCAATAGATATAACAGCTATATAACATTTTAGTAACACATTATATCTCTGTAATATAGCTGCAATATCGTTTGAGTGGAAAATTACAACTAACGTGTATGTTACATATAACAAACATGTTATATTGTACGTTATTTCCGTTGTTATTATTACGAAGATGTAACTGTTATGTTATTGTATTTGCTGGGGATTTACTAACTTGCGTACAATATACACAGCTAAATATATTTCACGAACAAAATGTGAATAAATCTTTGCAAACGTAATAAATATAATCTTTCTAAAAATGTTATGTGAGAAGAGACTCACTGTAAAGATGATTTAAATCTACAAAATGATAAAACATTTCGTATAAGCATATATCCGAAATTGTTTCTATTTCAATTTATAGTAATTTCTATATTTTATCTCAGCTATAATATGTATCGAGTTTACATATGCTTAAGGCTCCTGGGGAATCGCATCATCCATCTCTTTTTAATGACGTCAGAAGCGAGAAAACGCATGCTAAAAATTCCTGCAAAATACGTCGAGATAAACAGATATATCCCCAAAACGACATTTGCGATCGATTATTAAGTACACCTCTAAAATACTCCGTATACTTTCCTATTGTTCTAAAAATCAATAGATAATCGGAAAATTAATATGACAAGATAATGAGGAAATTAGGTTAGAAAAGACGATTGCACGTCACATTTATTTTATAATTATCTGTTGATTGTTAGAACAAAAGGAAAGTGTACGGAGTATTTTAGAGGTGTACTTAATCGATCGCAAATGTCGTTTTGTGGATATATCTGTTTATCTCGACGTATTTTGCAGGAATTTTTAGCATGCGTTTTCTCGCTTCTGACGTCATTAAAAAGAGATGGATGATGCGACTCCCCAGAAGCCTTAAATGGCAAATATTTAATTATATAGTTTGATGACTATCATATTATTTTTACTATATACTATTGATTGTTATTAATTATTATTAAAAATTTACAATTTTTCATATTTTTTCTCATAATAGATAAACTTACTAAATCC